TCCACCAACCTGGATAATATATCCACCTACATGCATACGAATGTGGAAAATTTATCCGACAATATGAATTTATAAACAAATATCGATAATATTTATCCAATATGGATAAATTAAACATTACCGTGGGTACTGTATCCACAAACGTGGATTAATCATCCAAAAATGTGACAAATACATCCACCAACGAATAAAATTTATCCACAAACGTGTATAATTTATACAAAGACTTTCATAATTTATCCAAATACGTGACTTATCCACAAACGTGAATAGTTTACCTACTAACGTGGATACTGTTCGTGGATGATGTATCCTCCAACGTGAATAATATATCCACCAACGTGGATACTTCTTCTCCAACATGGACAACTTATTCACCAACGTGGATATTTTTTTATCCACCATCGTGGGTAATTTATCCAGCAACGTGTATAATTTATCCACCAAATTGGATAATTTATCCACCAAATTGGATAATTTTTCCGCAAACGTGGATAATTTATACAAAAATGTTCATAATTTATCAAAAAACGTATCGTGGGTAATTTATCCATCAACGTGGATAATTTATCCACCATCGTGGATAAGTAATCCACCATCGTGGGTAATTTATCCAGCAACGTGTATACATTTTCCACCATCATGGGTAATTTATAAACAAATGCGGATAATGTATCAACGAACGTAGATTATGTATCCACCAATGTGGATAATAATGAGGATAATTTATCCACCTACATTGATAGTTGATCCAGAAACCTGGAAAATTAATACACTAATCTAAATAATTTATCCACTAACGTGTATAAGTTATCCACTACCATGGATAATTTACGACAACTACCAACTTGGATAATTTTTATACCCTCCACCATTCTATGGAGGATATATTAACTTTGTCAATCCATTTGTAACTCCTCGAAATATTTATAATAGACCCTACAAAGTATATATATTCTGGATCAGCGTAAAATTCTAAGACGATCTAGTGATGTCCGTCTGTCTGTCTGTTGTAATCACGCTATCTTTCGAACGAATTGAGATTGAAGGCTAAAATTTTGCATACATGCATAGTTTACTAGTAGACAGGTTAAGTTCGTAAATGGGGCATGTCGGTCCACGTTTTCGTATCGGTACCTCGCGATATTCGACATTTTCATGATTTTAGCGACATTATTTACCGGAATTACTTAGAATTTCGTATTTGAAGTTCGTAATGGGTACTACAGCCTACGTATAGCCTTCATATAACGATACCTCCCGATATTCGGTATCTTAATGATTTCAGCAACATTATTCACCGAAATCGTTTCAAATTTCATACTGGAAGATCCCAATGGGTACTACAGCCTATAGCAAAAATTGTGTATGCAGGTTCAGATCTTCGTATAGCCCCCATATAACGGTACCAGCCGATATTCGGTATTTTCATGATTTTAGCGACATTATTTACCGGAATTATTTCAAATTTCGTATTTGAAGTTCGTCTTCGTATAGCCCCCATATAACGATACCTCTTGATAGTCGGTATTTTAATGATTTCAGCAACATTATTTACCGGAATCGTTTCGAATTTCGTATTGAGAGATCTTAATAGATACTACAACTTATGGAAAAAAAATTCGAATGCAGGCCCACATCTTCGTATAGCCTCCATCCTTCTCCCGATACTCCTTTTTTTCATGATTTTTGCGACATTATTCACCGTAATTGTAACAAATTTTATATCTGATGTTCGTAATGGGCCTACAGCTTATGACAAAAAATTTCGTATGCAGGTCCACGTCTTCGTATTGTCCCCATATAACGGTTTTTATTTAAGTGGTAGTTTTCGGAACTTTTTTTGAAAATTTTCAATTTCTTTGGAAATGGTAGAGGGTATTAAAAGTTCGACCCGGCCGAACTTAGCTGCTTTGTTACTTGTTTCTTAATGTTCTTATTTTTTAATTTTCATACAATCGGATAGTACATCTTACAATATGGATAGTTTTTTTTTCATAAAATTGAATATTTCTCAACAATGTGGATAATATTTTCCGATAATATGGATAATTTATTTATAAAAGTGGATAATTTTTAAACGAACCTGGCGAATATTTTAAAAATGTTATAATACCATCAACGATAAATTATACAGCAACAGGGATTCAATTGCTGGTATGATCCCAAAGTTTACCCCATTGTCTTTCAATGAAGTGTACATTCACGCGGACTCAGTAAACCCAACGCTTATATTATTTTCCTTTCAAAATTATGCAAAAAATAATACCCTATTCACAGAGTTGTATAGGGTATAACAAACGCTTCCCTTGTCCCAATTATATGATCTCATTACAAACATCCACATGTGACTAATACTAATAAAACCAAACAACTATCTTAACATTGTACAACTTGGTTGGCCTGTGTCTTCGATTCCTGCCCCGCCCTCTCAATATCACCATGCAAATACTTTTAATATTTAGTAAAAGAAAAACTAAAAACAAATAATTTAAAATTCGCTTATTACATAGATACAATAATGTTCTCTCACTAAAATTTATTCTTATTTGTAATTATCGATAAGTTAGACCATTGAATGTATTTAGATTTTTAAGTTGTAAATCAAATTCTGTTAATAATTCTTCAAATGCGTACTTAACTATATATATATTAAGTACCTACACACAGACACACTTTGAAATCTATTGTTTTCTATTTATAACAATTCTCATATTCCAATTGCATAACAGCTAAGCTAAACAGGCAAATTATGTTAGTTTTCATCCAAACATATTTATAAATTTTTGAAATATATACAAAATAAATATATATATACATATATATGTATAAAATAACAAAAAAAAAAAAAAACAAAAACTATATTGATTGTTGTTTTTATTTGATCGATGCAGTTTACTTACTAAACTATGTTTAAATTACAGGGTGAGATAAAAAAAAATTCAACAAAGTCAAACGCCATAATTTTTACACTTTTTTAATTTTATTGAATGAAAGCAAAAAATGTCGGAAATATCATAACATTTTAGAACAAGTTTATATTTATTCGAATTGGTCACCTTTTACACGAATTATGGCCTTCAAACGGCCCTTGAAATCGTCAAACGCTGCCCGAATGTTGCTCTGCGGTATTTTGGCCCATTCCCGGCGAAGCGCTTGCTTGAGGTGACTGACACTTCGGTATTTTTGGTGCCAACCTTGCTTTCTAAAATACTCCAGACACAATAGTCCAACGGATTGGTATCCGGAGATTTTTGTGGCCATTGTGCGCTGGAAATGAAGCGAGGAACCTCTTTTCGTAACCATTCTTGGGTGGAGCGTGCTGAGTCCTGTTGGAAAGTCCAAGGTCTGCGGCCAAAATGTTTGCGTGCCCTTTAATACACCCTCCAGAATAATATCGCGATAATATTAGGCATTTATTCTGATGCCACGGTCGCTTAATACGAGCGGAGAGCGACCATCGGCTGTTATGGCGGCCTATACTATTACCATGACCGGCGCTTGAGTTCTGGTGGCTACGTACGCTACCAGTGTCACGGTAACAAGCGATGGTAGAGACACAACAGATTTATTCACATTTAAATGCTGGAGTGCTCTAACGATAGCCACTTGTGATTTTCCAGCCAAATATAAAGAAATCACACTATCACGCTTGAATTCCATCACAAATAACTTTTTTCTGGAAAATTCTCACCAAAAATGCTTTGTACGCTTGTAAACAATATAATGAGCTATCACTGGAATAATTTTACCAACTGTCGGACGAGTGGCTTAGAAATGACAGCAGTTTGAAGTTGGTTGCAGTTTTTTCATCTCACCCTGTATATGGGAGCTATAGCTATATCTGAATCCTCCGAATTCGACGTACTTGCTTTTGACTAAAGTCAGTCTAATATACCAAAATTCAGGACTTTTTGACAAATTGGCCATTTGGTGCACAATTAACCCGAAAATGGTTGAAGATATATGTGGGACCTATATCCCAATCTGAACCGATCTTGAAAAAATTTTACAATGGTATTTCCGAACTCTATAAGATATCTAATACCAAATATCATTGTTGTCCAATGCATATTACGAATGTGAGGGACTTAAACTCCAAATCTGAACCGATTTTCTGAACCAAATTTGGTTTGCTGGCTTCTAGGCAGAATTCGGTGGGATGTATCAAAATACAGGTCATTTGGACTTACATTATCCATTTGGTGCACAATTAACCCAAAATGGGTGAAAATATATTGGAGCTATATCTAAATCTGATTCGATTAGGGTTCGTCCTTGGGCTAAACAAATATTGTTTACAAAATTTCATCTCAATCGGATAATAAATGCGACCTGTATTTTTTTTTTCACAAAAATACATGGACGGACGGACTGACATGTAGAAATCGACTCAGAAAGTGATTCTATGGAGTTCCTCAAAAGTAACTATGGGTCTCCTGTAACAAACAAATGCACAAAGACATAATACCCTTACCACTATGTGGAGTAGGGCAGCCAGCCTCACAATATATGCATTTGTAGTGGTATGAGGCTCTCTCGCCCTGCCAAATCAATGGCAAATGAAAATCTAGAGAGAAATTACGTGTGCTTTGTTTATACTTTTTCGTTCGAGGATCCTCATAGCTGGTGAAGGGTATAAAAAAATAAAAAAAACGTCTCACTTTAATTCCAAAAATGAAATGACTCCCTGTGCGACCTCCTCATAGACCATGATCAATATGACAAACTGAACAAAACCCAATGCGAATTGATAAGAAAATATACACAGACATACGTCAATAAATTGGATGAAAATGAGCTTAATGTTGAAACAATTTCAAAGGCAAGCACTTCTACGAAAGTAATCAAAAGTGCTACCGGACAAAATGGCAGGTTGGCATCACCGATGCAAAAACAAACAAAACAAAAAAGAGATAACTTGTTTTTTCGCATCGCAAATACAATTCTTCCTAAACAAATCAGTCTTAAATCTGAACTCAGGGAAATAACATTGTTAGTCACAAACCTACATAAAATCCCCGCCAGCAGATCAAAACAAAATGTTAATAAATTCATTCATGAGTATATTTTTGTTTATGGGAATGGCGAACGGTGTGCCATTCAATATAAAACCTAAATGTTTGGAATCAACTCCGGTGGATGGACAATCTTCCCAAGAACAGCAAGGACAAGTAGTTTGCACTGATATACAAGAATTGAAAGATGTAAACGGACAAAGAAACTGGAAGCATTTAATTGTTTTCAACGAAAACAAACAAGCATTTCAAATTAATGGTAAGTATTTTGAAAATCAATGGAAATATGTGTATTTCGAATATTTATTTTTTGGCAGACATCAATAGCAATTTTAGTGCTTTGGAAACATTGGACTTATCCCAAATTGGCGAATTAGAACTCAACGATGATGGCTTCAAAGCAATGCAGAATCTTTTGTTTTTGAATATATCAGGAACTGGCATAGAATCGCTCAGCGGCATACATTTTTCCCCCTACAACAAACTGGAAAATCTCGATGCTAGTTGGAATACCTTGACGGAGTTGAGTTTTGACTTAAAAAGCAGATTACTGTATTTACAGTATGGAAACTTTTCACACAATGCGCTAACGAAAATCGAGGAAGATGACTGGAAAGTATTTCAAAAATTAAAATGTCTGCATTTGGACAACAATGAATTGAAAACCGTCAGTTTCCATGATTATCCGCAACTGCAAGTGCTGACTTTAAGTGACAATCAAATTGAAGAGGTAAGTGATACTTATTTAAAATTATGCTGTGCGACAAAATTCAATTTTTCAATAATTAAAGGGAAGTTCTGGCAGATTATGAAAATAGAGCTAAGAATAATGAAGACACGTGTATCGGCGTTTTGAAAGTTCACATCGAAAATTAACCAAAGTATAGGGGACTAGTCCGCCACTCTTCCACAGTTTCGGAAATTTTCGTATTGAGATTTCTCGGAATTTGTGCTTTTTATGTATATAGTGTCTTCGAAAAGGGCCAAAAAGTTGCCTTTATGGTCCTTAAAAAAGGTGAAAAACTTTCTTTAAACTTGCTACGATCAGTCAAAATATTCTACAAAATTATTTGTCATAAAATTCTACTATAGGTTTATAAGACGAGGCAAGAGTCTAAATCTTAACTAAATGCCTGCAATTTATATATTAACCAGTAAAGAAAGGTCAAAAGTCGGGCGGAACCGGCTATATACACCACCATGCGTATATCGGAGAACTTTATTTGAATGCGTATCAAGGTCATAATTTGGGAGCTATATCCAACTCTGAATCGATTTTCAACAAAATTTTGCGGAGGATTTTGTACCTCTAGTACCAAATAATATTAAAAATTATGTATTGGAACAATAGATATACCGGACCGAGTTTCACCAAATGAAAAAATTCGGTTGAATATGAAAAAAATCTATCCAATTTGGGCTGATATTACATATGTGGTGTACAATAACCGTAAAATCGTATGAAGATCTATATCGAAGGTATAGGAAAATCTGAACCGATCTCGATAAAATTTGCTAGAATTATTTTCGATCTGTATCTGATGTCCGGTATCAAATATCATTGTTTTGGAGTGTGTATTACGCATGTGAGGGACTTTAGCATTAAGGATATATATGTGAGCTATATCCAAATCTTTGCAGTTCTCGATAAATTTTTGGAAAGGTTTTTTTTGAGCTTTATAAGATATCTGGTACCAAATATCATTGTGCCGAATGCATATCATGAATGTGAGGGACTAAACATCAAATCGGATGAAACATATATATATGGGAGCTATAGCTATACCTGGACCGATTTCCTTCGAATTCGACGTACTTGCTTCTAGACTGAATTCGGTCGAATATACCAAAATTCAGGATTTTTTGACAGATATTGGCCATTTGATACACAATAAACCCGAAATCTGTTGAAGATATATATGGGAGCTATATCCAGCTCTGAACCGATCTCGATAAAATTTGGCAAAGGTATTACCGATCTTTATAAGAAATCTGGTACCAAATATCATTGTGTCGAATGCATATTACGAATGTGAGGGACTTAAATGCCAAATCGGGTGAAACATATGTATAGGAGCTATAGCTATATCTGAACTGATTTTCACAAAAATTGATGTACTTGCTTTAGACTGAATCTCGACTGATCTCGATAAAATTTGCTAGAATTATTTTCGATCTGTATCTGATGTCCGGTATCAAATGTCATTGTTTTGGAGTGTGTATTACGCATGTTTAGCATCAAATCGGATGAAACCTATATATGTGAGCCAGAGCTATATCTGAACCGATTTTTTCCCAATTTAATGTACTGTATTCGGTCGGATGTACCAAATTTAGGATTTTTGGACTGATATTGGCCATTTGGTACACAATTAACTTGAAATCGGTTGAAGACATATATATGGGAGCTTTTTCCAAATTTCAACAAATCTTGATAAAATTTGGCAAATGTATTTCTGGGCTTCATCTGATAACTGGTACAAAATATCATTGTTGTCGAATGTATACGTCTGAACCGATTTACACCACATTTGAAGTACTGGATTATAGGATGAATTCAGTCGTAATTGCCAAAATTCTGTCCATTTGGGCTGATATTAGCCATTTGGTGCACAATAAACTTGATATCGAATAAAGATATATATATATGGGAGCTATATCCTAATCTGAACCGATCTCGATAAAATTTGACTGATGTCCGGTACCAAATATCATTCTCCTGGAGTGCATATTTCGCATCTGATGGATTTAAAACCCCAAATCGGGTTTATATCTGAACCGATTTTCTCCAAATTTGATTTACTTGCTTCTAGACTGAATTCGGTGGTATGTACCAAAATACAGGTTATTTTGACTTATATTAGCCATTTGGTGCACAATTAAGCCGAAATCGGTTGAAGATATATGGAAGCTATATCTAAATCTGATCCGATTGTCACCAATTTCAATAGGGTTCGTCCTTGGGCCAGACAAATATTTTTTGGACATTTTCATTTTAATCGGATAATAAATGCGACTTGCTTTGTTCTCAAGAACACATGGACAGACGGACGTGCATAAATCGACTCAGAAAGTGAAAAAAATTCATTGTCCAGCAGTTTGTAAACAAACAAAATGGTCGTGTTTACTTGCCAAAGAGGTCAGCTGAAAATGTGCACCTTCTGTTGGCCACCAGAACTCAAGCGCTGGCCATGGTGATGGTGTGGGCCGCCGTACCAGCACCATCGCACTCAGCACGCGCCACACAAGAATGGTTATAAAATGAGGTTCCTCGCTTCATTTCCAGTGCACAATGGCCACCGAAATCTCCGGATAACAATCCGTTGGACTATTGTGTCTGGAGTATTTTGGAAAGCAAGGTTGGCAATAAAAAATACCAAAGTGTCGATCACCTCAAGCAAGCGGCCATAATTCCTACCAAAGGTGACCAATACGAACAAATCTAAACTTATTCTACAATTTCCGACAGTTTTTGCTTTAATTCAATAAAATTTAAAAAAGTGTAAAACTTAAGGCGTTTGACTTTGTTGCAGTTTTTTATCTCACCCTGTATATGCATACATACTCTTTACTAAAAAATATATTGCCTTTTTTCAGCTTACGGTCAAATCATTCAGTGGTCTGCAAAGAATGGAGGAATTAAACATAACATCAAATCCTTTGCGCCACATTGGAAAGCACACTTTCAATAGCATGACACAATTAAAAGCTCTAAATTTATCTGCGAATAGTTTGGAACTTCTAGATGTCGACGTATTTGCAGGTCTCAATCGATTATTGTGTTTAGATTTAAATTCCAACGACCTCAAAGAACTGGCGGAAAACCAATTTCAATATTTAATTAAACTGCAATATTTAGACTTGAGTCGTAATCGTTTGACGGCCCTTAATTCGACCGCTTTTAAATATCTTTTATCGTTGAGAAAACTCTATCTACATGAGAACGATTTGAAGGCGTTGACAACGAATACCTTTGCCTGGTTAACTGCCTTAGATACCCTGGACTTGTCACAAAATTCACTAGAATATCTGGATGCCGACTTGTTTGGCTCGTCGACATTGCCACGCTTGAAGAAACTTATACTGAAAACGAATAACATCAAACGTTTGCATCCGTTTGCCTTCGCCTCTCTACCATTCATCCAGTATCTTTCGTTGGGCAACAATGAACTTACCACATTGGATGTCCGAATGTTTGCCCCAATGCGACGACTGGATAAATTACATTTGGGAAATAATCTTTTGGAAGTCATACCGCCCGAAGTTCTGGACAGTCTAACCGATGTTGGTGAGTTACTCATAGACAATAATCGCCTTTCTTTTTTGCCCGACACCAATGCCACCTTTCCGCGACTACGAAAAGTATCAATTGAGGGCAATCCGTGGCAGTGTCCTTGTCTGAACGAATTGATGGAGTTTTTGGAAATACGCCAAATAAGCTATGTCCGTGATCATAGCCCGTACTACAGTGGAAAGCGGCCGCTGTGTGTTGTCACCTCTGTGGATGCATGTGTTAAGGATATTAGCTTGGTGAAAGAATATGGAATTGAAGATATATATAATACGGCATAAACCGTATTGTTTAGTTTTAGTTTCATGAGATTATATAAGACTACATAAACTTTGATAATGAACATTTTTTTAATAAATAAGTATTGTAATCGATATTGTTTTTTACGGGCCAAAAAGTCAGTAACTTTTAAAGAGAAGGAGAACTTCCCAGCTGAAGAATGTTACTATTGTATTTTAGATTTTCTTTTTTTTTTTTGAAAATTTGAATAGGTTGTCATTTGACGAAAAATAAATTTTGCATAAATTAAAAAATATAACATTTATTTCATTCCGTTTGGAAGCTACAGTGATTTGCACAGACAGAGCGAACTGTAGCCCCTTCACTGTGGTGAAACGAAGACATTAGAATATATGTCCGAATGACCTGTTCCAAGCTGTTATTTCCCTTCTTTACCCTCAGTCATATGGCTACAGCGGGTAAATATCATTTGATATGGCCGAAACGTGCCTAATCGAAATAACTGTTTTAGACCTTCCCTGTGGACCAAATCCGATTCAGGTCATTAGGAGTAGATCTAGGGGTGTCCCACTGTCTGGCTGGCGGGTGCGCACGATATCATTCGAAGGGAGAATCCGGTTTGATCCAAACGTGGAACATCTTAATATTATTGCCAAACATAGATCAAGTTCGGTGATGAACAATATAGGTCCACTCCATTTAGTATCTCCATCACAAAAGTTCACAATTTTCCGTATAGAACAAGAAAGGATCAATTTTGTTCAAATTTTCCAATATTTGTATAAGTGCTATGTCATGTGCGAAAAAGAACAATATCAACCCACTCCATCATGTACCCCCCACACCAAGACCCCAATTGGGAATAATTATTATAACTCTTATAAAATACGAAATAAGCATCCGATTCTCTTCAAAATTCGCACATCTCAATATTTATACCAACACAAGATCTATGTGAAATCTGACCCAATCCTTCTGGCACCTCTCCCACAACGGGTCAACATTTTAAATAATTACATCTCCAACAAGTCAACTAGTATCAGTCGGTTTTGCCCACAGATTTATACCCCCAGCCTTGAGGGGGTATAAATCTGTGGTTCCGAAGCATTTGGCTAATACTGACCAATTCGTATCTGACCTAAAACTCATATAAATATTACAACGTGCCAGATTTTGACTACATCGACTACTTCCTATACTTTATATGAGATATTTGCAATTTTTGGGGAAATATGGAAATCTGCGTGAGGTAACAGATATAGCGGATCGAAGTATTCTGTTTTCATACTTCATCTAATAAAGATAAAAAATCTAACATTTATATCCAATTTTATGCGAAATCATAAATTCCGATAAATTACATATCTATATCAGATATCTGGTTAAGAAAAATATAAGTATTGGAAATTGTGACCCTTTGTGGGTGAGGTACCAGAAGGGATTGGCAGATGATCTTCACAACAGATTTGATGTTATCAAAAATGTTTGTATGTGTGAAATTTGAGGAGATGGATGAATGGATTTGGATGCTTATTTAGCTTTCTTTGAGCGTATTGTTTTTCAAAATCTCGAAGTCTATGTGGGGGAGGCACCAAAAGAAATGGTGCGATCTCTACAATCTTTATAACAAATCTCGTGTTGATGAAAAAATTGAGATGTGCCAAGTCTGAATGTAATCGGATGTTAGTTTCGTGTTTTATGAGCTTCATGAATATTCAAAATTTTAACCCTCTGTGGGGGAGGTATCAGAAGGAGTGCGCCGATATATTCCATCTTCACACCACATCTTGAAGAAGGGAAACACATGTTTATTTCGGATTTTATAATCGTTTTTGTTGTTCAAAATTTTAACCCTTTGTGGGGGAGGTACCAGATGGAATGATCCGATCTCTACCATCTTTATAACAGATTTTTATAAATTTTTAATATTTTCATTTTTAATGGCTAAAATCGGCAAAATACAGAAAGTCGTTAGGTACAGTTATATGGGGTCTGTACTAAAATGTGGACCACTACAGCATATTTTTAAAACCAAACATTTTTGGACATAAAATTTTATGCTGATCAAGAATATTTAGATTTTATGGGCTCTAAAATGTTTCTTTTCTGGGAGTTACATACGGAATGACAGTGTTTTATACACCCTCCATGCGTCGGCGTAGTTGGGGGGCCTATAGGGCCTCCTAAACAGTAGATGTTTAAATGTGTAGACTTTTAGATCGTTCAAAAACAAATGAAAATAGTGTAATTTAATGATACAAAAATCTTTAAATAGACAATAACCTGGCTGTTCATAGAAGTGTGTATTACATATGCTTCGTTGAATTACCCCCAAAACTTAAGAAAATAACTAATAAGTTTAAAAGCCCAAACTTTGAACGCATTCGTTACAAATGGAACGAATTAAGACATTTAAAAAAAAGAGATAATAATAATAATAATAATAATAATAATAATAATAATAATAATAATAATAATAATAATAATAATAATAATAATAATAATAATAATAATAATAATAATAATAATAATTAAATGAAATCCATTAAAAATTCGGTTAAACTCTTAAAAATACAGAATATAAGGAGTTAGAGTAATTTTGGGGTCTATACGAAGTCGTGGACCTGCAAAGTCACTTTTCTGTCCCATTACAAAGTTTAAATACGAAATATGAAATAATTCCGGTGAATACTCAGAAAAAAAATCATCAAAGTACCGACTATAGGGCTGTAGGCTGTAGTATCCGTTACGAATTTTGAATACCAAATTTGAAACAATTCCGGTGAATAATGTCGCTTAAGTCACCAAAATACCGAAAATAGGCAGGTACAATTATATGAGGGCTATACCAAAACGTGGACCTGCATGGTCCAGTTTAAATACCAAAAGTCCTGCATTTTGTTCGGAAGCTAAAGTGATTCCCACAGACGTATAGACGGACAGACATCGCTAAATCGACATAGAATTTTATGCTGATCAAGAATACATATAGTTTGTGGGGTCCAAAATGTATATTTCGAGGTGTTACAAATGGAATGACAAACTTAATATACACTCCATACTATGGTGGAGGGTAAAAAAAACGCTACTCTCGGAATTCCACGTTGCTATGATATGAAGTACTTGTTTAGCGCCATCTACATAAACAAATACAAATCAAATTTAAATATTATTCGTGCCTATGGTTGTACCGTACATGGTGGTTGCTGTATTTGCTAGTTTATGTAATGTAAAAAATAAGTTGTGGTATTTTCTACAATAGATGTCAGTAAGATATTGGATTTTTATACCCTCCACCAAACATAGTATTGTGGCTACATTAAGTTCGTCATTCCGTTTGTAACTCATCGAAATAATAATTTTAGACCCAACAAAGTATATTTATTCTTGATCAGCGTAAAATTCTAACACGTCCGTCCGTCCGTCTGATGTAATCACGCTACAGTCAAAACGAATAATGATAGGAAGCTAAAATTTTGCATATATCTGTCTTTTTTTTCTGCAGGCAGGTCAAGTTCGAAGATGGCCTATATCGGTCCACGATATCGTATAGCCCCCATATAATGGTACCCCTGATATTCGGTATTTTAATGATTTTAGCCACATTTCCCAATGGTAAAAAGAATTGTCTATATAGGTCCACTATATAGTATATCCCCCATATAATGGCACCTCCCGATATTCGGCATTTTGATGATTTTAGCCACATTTTTCAATGGAATTGTCTGAAAATGTACACAAGGAGTTCCTTTTGAGTACTTTATCCCCTGGAAGAGAATTATCCATATCGGTCCATGATATCGTATAGCCCCCATATAACGGTACCCCCCGGTATTCGGTATTTTGATGATTTTAGTCTCATTTTTCAATGGAATTTTCTGAAATTCTAAACAAGGAGTCCCTAGTGGGTATTTTATGCCTCGGAAGAGAATTATCTATATAGGTCCAGGATATCGTATATCCCCCATTTAACGGTACCACCGATATTCGGTATTTTGATGATTTTAGCCACATTTTCCCATGGAAAATTTTTGAAAATTTTCAAGATTCTTCCAAATGGTGGAGCGTATAAAAAGATTGGCCCGGCCGAACTTAGCTGCTGTTTTACCTGTTTTTTTTTTGCTATTTTTGATCAAATATTATTATACCGAGTGAATATGAGAGAACTTAAATATTATATCCGAAACAAATATATTTGTACAAATATATATGAGAGGCATAGCAAAATTTGTTAAAAATCGAATAACAAAATTCGTCATTCATTTTTCTTGGCCATTGATGTAAAAAGTTATAAAAACCCAATTATTTTTCATATATATTCCAATAAATGTATTTTTTTCTTTACTTCTTTAATAATAAAATATATATTAATCAATTATAATTAAATTTGTAACAAATATATTAGAAAAGTATAAGCGGATTCCAACAATGATCGTATGAATAGCAACTTAAAAGAAAATAAGTAAAATCCACGTTAAAGTCGGCCGCACCGAACTTGTGAAAGTTCGGTCCTCCACCATGAGGTAAAGAAAATCTGAAAATTGGGTCCGCTTTCATTTTTGCAAATGAAATCGATTGGCAAAAAATTCGGTAAATTCGATTCCTTCCACAGCGGTTAATATGTATTGCGAGTTTTAAATGCCAAATTGAAAGAAAAAAGGTTGAAATATAATTGTGTTAAACAATTAAAAAAATAAGTTTGGCCGGGCCAAACTTTTAAAAACATCCACCTTTTGATATAAAAGTATCTGAATTCAAACGTGTTCCACTTTAAACTACAAATACCATTAAGACCGTTTATATGTGCGCTATATGAAAACATGGAAACGTAAATATGTTCCCCCACAGGAGCTATATAGTACAAATACCAATTTTTGTACAAATCCCTGAAAAAAAGGGACAACAATCATCAGAATCGGAAGGTACCGTTATATGGGGACTATACAAAATCGTGGACCTATACATACAACCTTTCGCCACCGGAGCTAGAACATATTACGAACTACAAATACCAATTTTCAGGCAAATCCGCCGAAAAAATCATCAAAATACCGAATATTGGTAGGTGCTGTTATGTGGGGGGCTATGCAAAAAGTGGAACTATACATGCAATGTTTCGCCAACGGAGCTAGAACGCAATATGACAAACAAATACCAATCTTTAGACAAATCCGTGGAAAAATGTGACAAAAATCATAAAAATACCGTATATTAGGAGGTAAAATCGTGGACCTATACA